TAATATTACACATGTTTATTCAAGTTCTTATAATTTTTAATTTTATTATTCAAATTAAATTTATAGTTTTTTTAATAATAACAATAATAATAATATTTTTTAAATAATAATAATAATAATAAAACTCATGTTTCTTGACTATAGTATCCTTTTCTAGACCCAAGTGACCACAACCAGGTACAGGTAACTTAGATCTGGTGCCCCGTGTTAGACTCGTGCCATTCTACACCCAAGGTGCCGGGATCTTATAATTATGCCTAACCCGAGCATCTAGAATGTGGTTGCTTTTCTAGACCCGAGAGCCAAGGCACCAAGGCACTATCCACCGTAAATCAACTAGATAATTTTAACCCATATAAATAATTTGTCGACTCACATGATTGTTTTTTTTTTTTTGTTCGGCATGCACAGGGTATTGCTCTTGCCTTCTTAATCCTATCACCATCGTTCTTCATCACGTTGGCAATTGTCTTGAGTGCGCTAACCCGAAAATGAAATAAAGCATTAAAGTTAAAAAGACACTCAGATTGATAGAGGAAAGAGATTGGTGCGCCCCACCTTGGATCTTGCCATATGTGGTGTCAATGGAGCATAGTTTTTAAACCCGGCCTGGTGACTGACCCGGTCCAAGGCCCGGGTTCCGGGTTTTGACCGGGTCATCGGATTTTGATCGGGTCGAACGGATCGGTTTCCGGGTCAGCCCGCCGGGTCGAATTCAAAATAACGTCGTTTTAATAAAAAAATAAAATAAAAGTTAACGGGTTATCACTCGGTTTTTTACCAGGTTTTGCCGGGTCGTCCGGGTTTCCGGGTCAGCCCGCCGGGTCGGTCGGGTTACGCCGGGTCATGGCTTACCTTATTTTTTCATCAACCCGGCCTGGTTCCAGCCCCGGGTCAGCCAGATCCTGGATCAACCCGCCGGGCCGGACCAGATTTTAAAACTATGCAATGGAGTCTCCCGTCAATACATCATTGAACATTAGGAATAAAATTTTTTGTTTTGGGGAATAATAAATGTCAACTTGTCTTAATTTCCACCCCACTTGACATGTCAGCATCTAGTATTTCTCGACCTATTTACTTCACTGGTTTCAGGCTGTGTTACTGGCTGAAATTATTTATATAATTAATTCTAACAATTTATTTTTAATTTTATAATTTTACAATTAAAATTTACATTGTATTTTCTATATGTTGTAAAAATATAAGATTTTAACAACAATCATTCCTTCAGAATTGATTAATACTGTAATAAATCAAATTTATATTCCTTTTCTGGTTGTAAAAAAATGTTTTTTCAAATTTATTAGTAATTATATTAGTAATAATATTAATAATAATATTAAACATGTCTAATTTAAGTTCTTATAATTTTTAATTTTACCCTTTAAATTAAATCTATAATTTTTCTTTAATAATAATATTATTATTTAAATTAAATAATAATAATAATAATAATAATAATAAGACTCAAGCACTTAAGGTTTGATAAATATATCTTACTTCAGTATTAGATATTTGATAACCATTTTATTTCCTAGTTTTAGGATTTGATAACCATGTTTATTTAAAAAAAAAAGATAAAAGAAGCTTTCAATCCAAAAATTAAGATCTTGTACCATGAAGGATAAATTAGTATTTATATTGCACTCTATAAAACCTGAATGAATTATTTTTTCGTTAATTATTTTTTAATATAAAATACATCTTATAAAATAATAATTTCATCCTCAACTATTTATTATATTGTTCTCATTTATAATGATCTATACCTTGAAAAACAGTAAAAAAAAATAAACTGCTAAAGACTGATCTTCTTTTGTATAATTTTGACTTAATTCAATTATTAGAATTTGAGGCAGCGTAACAATGTGAAAGAAAATGTCAGAAAAGTAGGGCATGATGATGGCGATAAAATATTTGTAATCTGACACGTCACGTTCTCGCAAGGAAATAGTTAATAGTGCCAATAATTGATCTGCTCTCAACTTGCTGCAAATAGCTGCCATGACCAAATATTTAAGAAACAAATATTTATTACTAGTTAATTTTGAAATTTATATAGATTTTAGATTTGTTTTGGTAAGAGTAATTGGTTGGAGTATTATAACTATTAAAATTATTAAAAATTTATATGGTTATTAATTTTAGAATCTATAAACTTAATTAAAATATACAAATTATCTAAATATTTATATTAATCTTAAAAATATTTTTTACTAATCTAAAAATACTATCTCCTAAATTGATTGGGATTTAGCTCAACATGTTTTATATAAAAAATTATAAAAATAATTTTTTTAGTATTTTAAAACTATTTTAAAATAAAATATCAAAAATAAATTTAAACAATAAAAATTATTCATTTAATATTAAAAAGCTGTAAAAAACAATTAATAATATACTCTAAACTATTCTTAAATTATTGGATTGCGTCCTCGGTTTCCACGCCATTCGAAGCTTCTAAAAGAAACCACACATCTATCAAGAAATCACACAATCACGCTAAAGATTTGCTATCAAAATAATGGGAAATAAAACCCAATTGCATCAGCGGACATGTGATCAATAATATTAAAATACTGTAAATTTTTATTTAATTCAATTATTAGAATTCGAGGCAGCGTTACAAGGTCAGCAAATCTTGGATGACGACCACAGTCCACACATATCAGTAATTTGAGACAACACGTTCTCGAAAGGCAACTAGTTATATTACCCGTGCACCCGCGCAAGTAGTGGGTAAATTTATTTTACATAAAAAAATATAAAAAAAAACTTGCATGATTTAATATTATATAAAAAAATTATTTAAAATTATTAATTTTTTTATAAAATTATATTTAAAAACATTGAATTTAACTATAACACCCGATGTAAATGTAATATTTATAATTTTAATAATAATATTAAACTTGTATTATCCAAGTTTAAGTGAGTTTAATTACAATACTATACCCAATAACATTGGATATGGGTTTAACTGCAATGTCGTGTTATAAAAGTGTGATAATTAAATAGATTAATTAAAAAAATCTGAATTAATTAGATTAACTCTTCAAACCAGGTTAACTCATTTAAATTTGGATTCATGTCATGAAAATCTGATAACTAAAGAGAGAAAAAAAAAAAACAAATTGACGGGTCAACCCATAATTAACGGGTCTGATCCGGCAAACCAGGTTAAACAATCAAATCTAGAACTCGTGTCATAAAAATTTAATAATTAAATATAATTTAACATTAACAAACTAAATTAAATAAAAAAATTAATTAAAAAATAAAAATAGACAAAAGGCATAAGCCTCTTCACTATAGACTGTATTGTACAGTCCACAATCAAAAGCATAAAAACGACAAAAAAAAAGAAAAACTAAAGACATCAACTGATAACTAAATAGAAAAAATTTAATATTAATAAACTAAATAAAATAAAAAAATATTAATTAAAAAGAAAAAATAAAAGAAAAAAACCTAAAAAAAATCTAAATGAACTGGGTTAATTAGTTAAACTTGAGATTCGTGTTATGAAAGTTTGATAACTAAATAAAAAAAATTTCATATCAACACACTAGATAAAAAATTAATTAAAAAAAGACATCAGTCTTTTAACCATGGACTGCACTGTGTAGTCCATAGTGAAAGATATAAAAAGAGAAAAAAAAACAAAAAAAGTTAAAGATCTTAGCTTTTTTACTGTGGACTGCATATAATATTAAAAGAAAAAATTAAAAGAAAAAAGCCAATGAGAAAAAAAATATGAATCAACCCGGTTAACCCGCCAGATCAGGTTAACTTGTCAAATCTAGGATTTGTGTGATGAAAGTGTGATAACTAAATAGAAAAAAGATTTAATATCAATAAACTAAATTAAAAAAAAAGATTAATTAAAAATAAAAAAGCAAGGAGAAAAAAACTAAAGAAAAAAAAATCTGAATCAATTAAACTAACTCGTCAAACCAAGTTAATCTGTCAACCTTGAGATCTATGTCATAAAAGTTTAATAATTAAATAAAAAAATTTAATATTAAGAAATTAAATTAAAAAAATTATGTAAAAAAACAAAGAAAAAAACCAAAAAATTTAATATTAATGAACTAAATTAAATAAAAAAAATAATTAAAAAGAAAAAAACCTATAGGAAGAAAAAAAACTAATGAAGAAAACAAATCTAAATTAACTGGGTTAACCCATCAAATCTAAGATTTCTGTAATGAAAATCTGATAATTAAATAGAAGAAAATTTAATATCAGCAAAATAAATTAAATAAATTTTTTTATTAAAAAAACAAAAAAAATTGACGAATCAACCCATAATTAACTGGGTTAACTTGTGAAACCAGATTAACTTGTGAAACCTGAGATATGTATCATAAAAATCTGATAATTAAATAGAAAAAAAATAACATTAACAAACTAATGTAAATAACAAAATTAATTAAAAAAATTCAAATTTAAAAAATTTAATATTAAAAAATTAAATTCAACAAAAAAATTTATTTTAAAAAAAAGACAAAAGGGGAAAAAAACCTACAGTATTAAAAAAAACAACAACTAACATGTGTGTGAAAGACAACACAGAAAAAATAAAATAAAATTAAAGTACTATAATATGCAATTTACAATAAAATACTACTACTATAATAATTATTATAATATATATGCTCCTTTCAAGTATTGTTCATAGTTGAAGGTGCCGAACATTAAACCCATAGTTTTTAAATCCGGTCCGGTCTAAGGCCTGGGTTCGGGGTTTTGACCGGGTCACCTGAGTTAATTTCTATTTTTAAAAAAAATTCAAAACGACGTCGTTTTAGTAAAAAAACAAAAGTCAACAGGTTGCAACCGGGTTTTTGACCGGGTTTTGCCGAGTCGTCTGAATTTTCGGGTCCCGGATCAACCCGCCAGGCCGGGTCGGGTTTTAAAACTATGATTAAACCAGTTCTCAACTCGCTACAAATAGTTGCCATGGCCTTTCATTCTACATTATTTTTTCTTTCATGGAATCCTCTTTGCCTTCCTTCCAAGTCTTGGGTTTTGGTGGAAGTGCTGAGAGGAAAAATGACGCAGAAAATTACAATGAAGTGATGTCCACCCTTCCAAAAGTTAAAGGCTTGAGGGGGGACGATTATTACCTGTACCAAGGCTTTTGGTACTCTGCCTTCTTCTTGGAAGGACTCATGTCTGTTCAAGAGCACTTCACTCCTCAATCCACCGATATATTTGTCGCCAGTTTTCCAAAAACTGGCACAACTTGGCTTAAGGCCCTCACTTTTGCTATTCTTACACGATTCCGTTTAAGTGGTTCAACAACTAGTTCTTTACTTACCAAGATGCCGCATGACTGTGTTCCTTTTTTGAAATATAACCTTGCTCAAAACCCGAGTAATCGGGACTTGGCAATTCCTCTGCTATCCACTCATGTTCCTTACAGTAGTTTACCTAAATCTATCATTTCTTCTTGTTGCAAGATTATTTACATTTGCAGGGACGCAAAGGATGCTTTTGTTTCTTTGTGGTACTTTCATGCCAACTTGCAAAGGTCGAAAAATGTTGAGCATCTTCCTCTGGAAGAGGCTTTTGAGCTGTTCTGCAATGGAATTGCAAATCACGGACCATACTGGGACCATGTTTTAGGGTATTGGAGAGCAAGCTTGGAGTTCCCTGAGAAGATACTGTTCTTGACGTACGAGGAAATGAAGAAAGACACCGCTGCTCATGTTAAGAAATTAGCTGAGTTCATGGGTTGTTCTTTCACCTTAGAGGAAGAGGAGGAAGGCGAGGTGCAAAAGATAATAAGCATGTGTAGTTTTGAGAAGTTGAGCAACTTGGAGGTGAATAAAAATTTGAAGTGCCTTCAAGACATATCAATTCCTATTCCAAATAGTATATACTTCAGGAAAGGTGAGATAGGCGACTGGGAAAATCACTTGACACCTGAAATGGGAGCACGTCTAGATGACATAATGGAGCAGAAGCTCAAGGGTTCAGGCTTGAAGCTGCCCAGGTGACTGTGCCTGGGTTCCATTTGCTTACGATTATTGCCGAAGTGAGTTCATCAAAAGCTGCTTTCAACATCTCGTGAAACAGCAATTATGTATCCCAATAAATACCCTCTCTGTTCATTTCTTCTATTTCCTAGCAAGTATTCACATCTTGTGAATCATCCATGTCTATAAGCAATATTCTTATGTGAATCTGTGGAATGATTGTTTTCCCCTACTCGCGATTACTGCGGACTTAATTCGCGATTTTAACAACCTTCATCTGTGCAAGTAAAGAATCTGAAAGCAATTTTTACGCAGTATCAGCAGAATAATTGTCTTCCCCTACTAGGCTCAGACTTTCATTGATTTCCTTGCATGTTTGTAAGAATTCAAAATGGTTTTTTTTTTTAATTTAACACAACTGACTTTCATTAATCAGTTTGATAAAAAAATAAATTTACTCTAATATATAGTAATAGAGTGTTTTCTTCACAGCTATACATGTTTTAAAAGAACCGAGACAACCATCCACTAAGATTGTTGAATTGCAGATTAAATGAACGTAGGTGGAACTGCTGGCGGGAGAAATCACGGCTAATGGTTTTAAAATACTCAGAGAGAAAACACATTCTTTATTTTAAGAATAAAAACTTATAATAATTAAACAAAAGTTTTGAATGCACATTCTTTTTTTCTTTGTGTTTCTTTTAAATCTTTCTACATATAATAGTATAAATTCAACTGTTTATTTATATACAAATTCAAAATAAAAAAAATTCAATTTTAAAGTGTAAAGACGACTGTCTATTTATATGTGAATTCAAAATAAAAAAATTCAATTTTAAAATGTGAAGATAGCTGAGGCCGACAGCGTAAAAAACGATTCAACAGTAAAAGCGGGTGATTTCTGCTGAAAGGATCTCGAAATGCTTAAAATGTGAAGATAGCTGAGGCTGACAGCGTAAAAGCGGCTGATTGATTGTAACGTGAAAGCAGCTGATGGCTGGACGATTCAACAGTAAAAGCGGGTGATTTCTGCTGAAAGGAACTCGAAATGCCTTGTAATTAAAATAAAGATCAAGATCTGTAGGAGAACTCGTGTTTTCCACTCTTAAAATAAGCCCAGGAGCCGGCTTCTTGTGCAACAGAGGCACATAAAGAATCTGAAAGCAATTTCTATGCATTATAAGCAGAACAATTTGATTTTCCTTCCTACTAGGCTCAGATCACAATTCTTCTTACTTCAAACAAATCTTTTGGAACTGATATGTCGAGGGATGGCTTGATTTATACAGGAGATTTTGTTGGAAAATTAAAGAAGCATGGCTTAATTATACCTTGGATGCGCAAATTGATTCCAGGGGAAAAAATGACAGAAAGTGAGTTGCAGGGAATGAAAAAGGCATTCGTAAACATGCAAGGAAATCAATGAAAGTCACAGATACAGACACGAAAGAATATTGCTTATTGCCATGGATGACTCACAAAACGGGAGGGTATTTACTGGGATTACACAGTTGCTGTTTCACGAGATGTCGATAACAGCTTTTGATGAACCTACTTCGGTAATAATCATAAGCAAATGGGACCCCAGGCACAGTCACCTGAGCAGCTTCATGCCTGCACCCTTGAGCTTCTGCTCCATTATGTCATCTAGACGCGCTCCCATTTCTGGTGTCAAGTGATTTGCCCAGTCGCCAATCTCACATTTCCTGAAGTATACGCTATTTTGAGTCACATGCGTTAAATTGGCTTGACTGGTCCTGAGTCTGATTTTGCTATAAAATTATTTCTTAACTAACCTTGTCCAAAAACCCCCATGCTAACAACTACTTCTCAACAAGCAACAAATCAAATGAATTGTGATCCTCCAGTAAACGGCGAATGGACACTGCCCCAGCAATGGATCATACAACCTCTGACCAACCGGCGAAAGATCATGAGGACCCTATCCCATTATAACTAATGAAGCAGACCATACCCCATCGACAATTCATCAAGTAGAATATTTGTGCCGTAAACCAACTTATTTAGATGTATTTTTAAATAATATCTATGAACTCAAAAAAATAAAAATCACTCAAATATCTCTCTAGAAAACTAACCTTGAACTCTTGACTAGGAGAAAAAGAAAAAGAAAAAGAAAAAGAAAAAGAAAAAAAAGAGCTTATAAGATATGAAACTAGGAGGTTGTTTTTTTTTTTTTTTAATTAAAGTGGATGTTTATACCAACTTGTATATACCACGATTAATCTCACGAGTCCTGAAATTAATAATTATATAAGCTTTCAGTAGCTATTATATGAGCAATTAAAGACTCGAACTTAAAACTATAAAAAAAATAAATTTCTTAATCTCAAATTTTTACTACTTGATCACCACTTAAATAATTAACTAGAAGGATGTTTGATTTGGAGGGTGGTGGTGGATTATCTGGTTTCTCCCGAACTTTCTTTTATCCATGTTTGGTTAAAAATTAAATTGTGATAAAGTTGAGATTTGGCCTCCGTTAAGAGAAGCATCTTAAAGATGCTTTTCACATGAAAAAGTTGGTCATGAGGTAAATCAAATAATATAATTATGGTTGCTTAGAGTAGCTCCAACGGACGAGACAAATGAAAAGCCAAATGCTTTTTGCCATTTATTCCTTTACTATTTGCATTCGAAGTGAAGAGGTAAACAAATAACCAAAATGGCTATTTATTTTCTTAACAGCCATTTCTACATTTAACTATAGAAATGGCTAAAATAATAACTATTGGCCAGCAACTATTTTTATAGCGGTTGGCCAACATTTTTTTTAAAATATAGAAGAAATCTTCTATAAATACATGAGGAAAAAATTTGTAGTTTTAAATTTTTATATTGTGCCTCCCCCTTCTCTCAAATTAAAAAAAAAA